TGTGTGTGTGTGTGTGTGTGTGTGTGTGTGTGTGTGTGCGCTCCTATAGTTCCTCCACATTCGCCTGGATCAGTGAGGGTCAGTGCTTGGCAGGTCCAGCCGCTCAGGAAGAGAAAAAAGGGAAGCAATCACTAAGAATAATCACACTGCAGCAGGAATTGGATTTGCTAGAAAGGACTGTTATTGGCTGCCTGTGTGTGTGTGTGTGTGTGTGTGTGTGTGTGTGTGTGTGTGTGTGTGTGTGTGTGTGTGTGTGTGTGTGTGACTCAGCTCACAGCTCAGCTCTGGTATCCCCCTTGGCGAGTAGCATTTAGAATTACTTAAGCCTTCACTGCAGATAATTAGCATTTTCAGCGGCTATCACACTGCAGATCAGAGCAGCACGCTGTGAGCTTCGGTGTCGACAGCGTGCTGTGCATTGCCGACCTTGGAATGCAACACAAACATCACATATCACATGCTCCTGTTTTGGTCCCACAAGAGGACGAGAGCCTGTTTTTCTCTTCGTGTGCCCGTCCTATCACAGCCAACTTGTTGTACTTGAAATGAGGAAGAGTAGAAGGATGAAGCAGTTTTCAAAATGTTTCTCCTCTCTTCTTTCTGTACAGTGACACCAGCTGTTAGCTGCTATTGCTGCTCCTGTCCTACCCGAGTCAGTTTTTTTTGCACCCTGAAGCAGTCCGCACCATGACCTCCTCTCCGCTGGTTTCTCGAGCCAACATGGACATCCTGGATGAGCTGCAGCTGATTGCTGCCCAGAATTTGGAGAGACTAGAGGTCAACAAGTACTACGAGGTGATCAGAGAGCTGGGCAAGGGAACCTATGGCAAGGTGGATCTGGTCATACACAAGATCAGAGGTAAGGGACCACCACAGAGTACATGACGTCTTAAGTGATTGCGCTGTCACCTTTTTGTTTTGGTCTCTGCACCTTAAGTGTAATTTCGCTTTTGGCTCCTAATGAGATGTCCCTTTGTTTAGACAGAAGTGTTAATAGTTAGATTAGAGGATGGAGTGCTAAATTGCAAGCTTGGTTAAATAACTGCATTCATAAATGTACAGACAGAAACCTCCTTAGTGAAAAGTTACAGACTAATAATTAAAATAGCAGAAATCTCAAGCACGGTCTTCTTGGATAGACGACAACACCCCCAACTGGTCACGGCAGATGGCTGCACCTCCCTGAGCCTAATTCTGCTGGAGGTTTCTTCCTGTTAAAAAGGAGTTTTTCCTTTCCACTGTCACCAATTGCTTGCTTGAAGGGGGTCATCTGATTTCGGGGGTTTTCTCTGTCTTTACCTAACAATATAAAGCGTCTTAAGACCCCTGTTGCTGTGATTTAGTGACATAAATAACGCTGAATTGAATTCAAAGAGTTTCAGTTCACTCCAATCAGCACAGGGGTTTAACTTTAAGCCTCAACAAAATCTAAATAAGTGAGTAATTTAAAATAATACCTCAGTAAAGTCGTGATACAAAAACAGGTTTTTTTTGTGCATCTGTAAAAAAACATCTGTATTTTTCCCAAAAGGTACAAAAATGGCACTGAAGTTCCTGAAGAAGAAGACAACCAAGCTGAAGTCTTTTCTACGGGAGTACAGCATCTCCCTGTACCTGTCTCCGTGTCCCTTCATCATCAACATGTTTGGCATCGCCTTTGAGACCGACGAGTACTACGTGTTTGCACAGGAGTACGCCGTGGCGGGGGACCTCTTCGATATAATTCCTCCACAGGTGCTGATTCGCAGATAACGATAGTAATACAGATGATTACTGATCCACAGTCAGAAGAAAGTTGGCTTAAAACTGTAAAATCCTCTGAATAAAATAGTGCTTTTCCTTTCTTTGGCCCTCAAGGTCGGTCTTCCTGAAACAGTAGCAAAGCGCTGTGTACACCAAGTAGCCATCGCTCTGGACTACCTGCACTGTAAGAAGCTGGTCCATCGGGACATTAAGCCTGAAAACATCCTCATCTTTGACCGAGAGTGCCGCAAGGTCAAGCTCTCTGACTTCGGAATGACTCGCCGGGCTGGCTCACCAGTGAAAAGAGTGAGTAGTGTTTGAGTTTTGTACGTTTTTATATTCGCACGTTTCCTCCAGTGACTGTAACCTGTTGGGTTTCCCCTCCAGGTGAGCGGCACCATCCCCTACACAGCTCCGGAGCTCTGCGATGTGTCCCGCCATGAGGGCTTCTGCGTGGACTACAGCACTGACGTCTGGGCCTTCGGTGTGCTGCTGTTCTGCATGCTGACCGGTAACTTCCCTTGGGAGAAGGCTCTGCCCTCTGACTCTTTCTACCAGGAGTTCATCCGTTGGCAGAGGAGGAGGACGAACACGGTGCCGTCGCAGTGGAGGCGCTTCACCGAGCAGGCCCTTCGCATGTTCCGCCGCCTGCTATCGGTGGAGCAGGACCGCCGCTGCTCCGTCAAAGAAGTGTTCGGGTACTTCAGCCACTCCTGGATGTTAGACGCGGAGAACGATAACAACAATGGCAACACGGTTGCTGGAGGTGGCGGCGAAAGAGTTAGTGGCGGAGGCGGCGGCGGCGGTGGAGGAGGTGGAGGGGGAGGAGGAGTCCGTGGGGAGGTGGACGGCACAATCTCGTCATCATCGTCCGGGGAAGAAGACGAGGAGCTTCTCGTGGAGAGGATGAAGCAGCAGACTCTGTCACCTCGCTCCCCAGTGTCGCCCCTCTCTCCCATGTTGCCAATGGCGGTGAAGAGGGGGAGCGGAGGCAGCGGGGCCAAAGGAGGGATGATGGAACCCGGCGGGGGCCACCATTTCGTGTCCGTCTCCACCAACAGCTCCGTGTCATCCACCAACAGCTACGATCGAATGCCCCGAGAAAACGGCTCACCTGGCGGCCGCATGCTAGTGCCGACACCCATAGAAATCTGCGTCTGAGCATGTCAGGGCTCACCGGCACACACTTTTATACCTCTCATCCAACCACGTAGATGTTCATGCATGGGAAAAGAAACAAAGCGATAACAAAGCACTAACACGTCTCCTGTTTTAAACATTGTGGGAAAGGAAGAGCGCAGACACACACGCGCCGGAGGACTTCCGAGGACGTCTTTGTAGAACGCACACATTCCTCATGATTGGTCGAATGTCCTGTTTTAACACTTGGAATTCAAGGACACGTTCAAAATGCAAGTGTAGAAAAATGAAGAAAAAAACGCTACATTAGAGATTTCAACACTAAATCGATCTGACAAGAAGACCAAAATATATTCCTTAAAGCAATACTTGCAGCAAAAAAAATGAATTAAAATAACATAAAAAGATAAAAAAGTCAGCAGGAGTTGGGCAGAACTCCTCGTGATCTCTTCAACACTGATAAGAAGGTTTTTTTTAAGAAGCCAAGGGACAAAAGATTCGTGTTTTTGACCGAAACAGAGCTCAAGCTAACACCTTACAAGATAAAAAGACTGACTGAGCCGTGGTTTCAGTGTTTTACTTGTAACAAGAATATGAAAGTGTGAATGTGTCCGTGTGCGTCGCCGTGCGTTTGAATCTAAAACAAGTAGTTTAATTTTTCTTTGAGAATTTTATTATTTATTTGAATCTTTAAAAAAAGAAGAAAAAAAAAGACTACACAATCTATTTTTTCTATTTTTTTGTAAGGTAGCTCTCTTTGTTTCCCATTCGACTCAGCATTGTGATATGGTGTTGAGGTATAGCTGTGTAACAGGTGTGGTATGCTGCTGTACATACTGAATACTTGCGCATTATGTGAGATGATCTACAGCTTTCCTTCATCTCAGACTAGATGGAGCGAATGCGTGCGATGTCTCTGCTCTTCACCATAAACATATCTACTTCACAGTTGGAAGACTTTTTTCTACTCACTCCTGAAATTCCGTTTGTATGGTGTTCCTTTGAAGCGTTTTTTCCAAAAGAGAACAAGAAAAAGATCTGTCTGCTTTGCTCACGTTTTCATCCAGACCTTCACCTAAAAATGTGTTTTCTTTTAAACTTTGTCTGAAAAAGAAAAATGATCTGTTCCAATTAAGTGCAGGGGGAAAAAAGCAAACACTCAAGAGTCACTTTTTATAAACTGCATGACGAGTAATTCAAACTTCGAATCTGAACCGGCTTTAGGAGGGAAAAAAAGGTAAAATGTTGTGATGTGATTTTTTTTTTTTTGCAGTAGCACACTTTATTGCATCATGTCCCAGAGTGAATATTGCTGTTATGACCTCTTGAGACATCCTAGGGCTAAAAGAAAAAAAATCTGAATATACTTACTTAGTTTCTATCCAGTGTGATGTATTTGTAATGCTATTAATGTTGTGTGCTCATCTCACCACCTTCAGGAACTAAAAAAAAAAAGCTAAGCATGAAGACAGAGCGAGAGATTTGAATTTGAATCAAATGTAGGGACTTAAATGTTTTGCTTTTGGATTTAAAAAACAACAACAAAACTAATCCATTCCTTTTTGACTTCATGAATATCAATTGAATTATTTTTCTTTGGGGGGGTGGATCATGCGTAGTGTGTGAATGGATGTTCTCTGTGTTGCTTTTCAGACATAAACTGCATGAAACTGTATGTGCTAAAGCCCTCTTGTGAAAAACTGCTCAGTGTTTATCCCGTCACAGGCTGTAGCACTCTATAGTTGTAGTTAGTATACCGGTGACAAACAACACGTCAGTAGCCTCAGCTCGGATCTGACAGAGGACCAGCTCAGCCCCTCCGCATGATGCGTTGGATCAGCGAGAGAGTAAATAACTGCATCTTGTGACAATCTCTGACCTCATCGGCAGCCTCCTGATTCAGAACAAAGGACGGTCCTGATGCGGACACTGCTCCCCATCTGTCAACTTCAAGCAGCGCTGTGCTGTGCGGAGTAAACCGTGCGAGCCCAAGCACATCCCACACTCGCATGACCGTATGAAGCCACATTACCTCATCGCGTCATTGTTCCTTTGCAGCGTTCACTCCGAAACCATCTTTCAACATTCGCGCTCTTCCCAAATAAACGTGACGTGCTTGAAGCACCCATGGCAACGTGCAACGATAAGCAACGTGAGGATTCTTGTAAATAGAGACACGTGGGAGGTTTTATTGACAATTCTTGTTACGTAAAAAAGAGCCGACACCAAACCAGTCTCCCAGTAGTGTAGATATTATTATTGATTGGTTTGTGAATTTGTGTTTTCAGCGTCACCACTTTGCTCTTGCTCGGAAAGCAGATGTGTCAAGCCAGAGGTGGATCTGACTATGAAGCGATGTTATGCGTTTTGTCAGTCACAAGTCACTGGCCAATGAGCATGGCCTCCATAATTCGCTTTTCTGACAAGAATTTGCAAAAAAAACGAATGATGTTTTTTTTTTCATTTACCACAAATGACTGGAATTCCTATTTTAGCCACAGGGATCATCGCCTGGTGGTCAGTATAAACAGTTTGGGTTTAAAGCACCTCTTTAATGGTTTCACTTTTCAGACATGGACACCATGGCCACCTTTAATACTATTTCTGTAAAAGGGCCAGTACGTAGGGCTCGGTGATATTAAATGATAAGACTGCAGATTGCCAGCAGCTCAATACAACTTCTGGTGGCTTTCACCTCATTTCAAACACAAAAAATGGCCCTAATAGAGCCTTTGTTTCTTTGGCACATTCTGGGCTACACAGGCTCTCATGCTGCTCTACAATATTTCATTTTCCTTTAAGCTAAGTTTAGATTTGCTATAACTAAAGGGGACCTATTCTGCTCCTTTCAAAGTAATTGTTATTTATTTTATACTGAAACGAGCTACTTTAGCCCCTCCCCTCTAAGACAACTTTCTTCTGATTGGCTGCCAATTGTAAACAGAAGGTTTGAACAGCAGACAGGCGGGATGACAGTGTCTGCAGCTAAAGCTATGTTCCTGGGATGACTGTATTGAGTATATCACCTCCCTCTCGTGACATCATATTGATCCAAGGGTAGCTATCAGAACCTGAGTGTTTAAAACAAGTTTTAAGGTAGTTTTCAGCTCACAGGCATTATACATCCAAAGACCTCACTATCTAAGCATCATTAATATGAGTATCTAACACTGTAACAGTATGTTTATGACAAAGACATGAAAATGAATAAAAGGTTCCCTTTACTTTTATGCTATGTAGGCAGTTGAGTTTTGAAAATTGTGTTTAGCAAACAGGATCCGGGATTTTTTTCATCTGTGTCAAACAACCCCTGAATTCAGTGTTTTTAAACTGTCTTAGTTTGGTGTCATTCAGCTTGATTTTTCTGAATTATTCTCTTGCATTAGTAAAGAGATCAACATTAGCTTATTATACCCCTAATGTAAGAATAGCCTGATGTTGCTTTTTACACAAGTAAAATTTTAATTATGTCGCGTATTTTGAAATTGAAATATTCAATTTTCTTCTTTAGCCTTGCTTCTTTTTTCCAAGCATGGAACCATCCGTAGCTAAATTAGCTAGCTAACATTTTGATAGTGGAGACAGAGCTATTGGTAAAGTCAGATGTTTTAGCATCGTCTTGCCAACATTCTTTAAAACAGAAAATTTGACTTTTTATCACGTTGTCTTATAAAACATTATACCCAAACCTCCAGTCTAACCTAACAATCCAAAGTAACTGCTGTTGTTAGTTATAGACAATTAGCCAACAGGATGTTATTTCTAATGAATGAATGATGATCAGTTGCAGTCCCTGTTTTATGAGTTAGCAAGCAAAACACAGAATATCAAAATACCAAAAAGTAAATCTTTATTTTGAAAGACACGCCCCGTACTGCTGTAGTTTCCTATCAGAATAATTTTAAGATAGTAAATGATTCACTAGAACTTGTGGTACAAGCACTGTGCTCAGATGAAATACCAGTGCAGTATACAGTACGCTGCAGACGAGGACACATCCGTTCACAAGCTGGGAGAGAAGATGAGTGACACAAAACTAGAAAGTGAGATGTGCATTTGTCATACGCCACCTTCCCCTTGCTCCCTCCCAGCGTCTGAGTCAGCCACCGCTGCCTCCTCATCCTATTCATATTGTGACGTGCTGTAATGGCGTTCCAGTGTCTTTCTGTCCGGTGACATAGCTGTATTTCAAAGCATCATGGTTTTTGTGGCGTTTTAGTGAGTAGATGACCACAGCACTAGAACTTGTACCCGGTTCTGTCTTTGCAATACAACTGTCTTCCTGTAAGCTGAGATTTAGTCAATAAAATAAGAATTCTTGTTCGAGTGATATTTGCATTTTTCTTGTTTTTCCCCTCCCAAGAGTTCTTTGGCATGCAATTGAATTTCATACAGGTGAAATTATGTAATCGCATTCACACAAGGGAATTTTTAGGGGCATCTAATACCGTAAAGAATGTGGCCAAATTGTATAACCAAGAAGAAATAAGTAATTTCAACACTCCATGGTAACCTGTGAATAGGCACTTGGTGATGGTGGGGGAAAAGAACTTCCTTTTAGCAGGAAGAGACCTCTGGCAGGAAAGGTTTAATTTTAAATTTTAATTTGGGGGCTCAGGTTAATGATGTTCATATAGTGCACTGAAATTTATAAATGAATAAAACAAGAATAGTAGATAAATTACTTCTAGTATTGTATGAGTTGAAACCACAAAATATTTTGAATAAAGGTATATGCTGCTAGTAAAGTATTTTGGATATATGTTACAATGTTTCCATAGAAACATAAATGCTGGGTGGCTGACTACAGTGTCCAAGTATAATTCAGAAGAATAATTTCAGATTTTAGTTAATGCACCAGTTTTAAGGTGAACCCTTTAATTATCAAACACGAGGCAAAGGTTCAATCATGTTTACCAGGATTTTTCAAAGTAAGTTAAAAAAAAAATTATTTGCACCAAAGCAGATAAGAGGAGAATCATGCACAGAATTGTTTCTGCCATTTAATATGACGATCGTTAAGACATAATGGTGAATTATGCCTCTGTATATCAGGAGGAGGACTTTAAATTCAATTCTGGATTCAGGGAGCTGACACAGTAACTAACTTCTAATATTTAAGCCTAACGAGGCCATAGCTAACCCTGATAGCATGCAGCTAATGATGAATTAGCATGTGACCTTCAATTTTTACTAAAAATCACAGTAAAGAGCGTTTGTTTTATAGTTTAGCAAAAAGTTGCTTTAACCTGTCGTACCCCAGTGCAGTCGAAGAACACTTGTTGTATATAAATGACTTTTTTGCATTTTTCCTGTACATACAGCAAACATTTAAACTGATACAACATAAAGAAAATTAGCAGGCCCTTTACTTCTTATTCACTAAGTGGAGATGAACATAATGACGTTGGAAAAGAACAGCTGTGTAACCACAGTGGGTGATGGCTGAATTTAGTTGCCTCAGTTTCACAGTTGTGCATGCTGGGGCACTGCCGTGGGTTACTCAGACACTAACCGTGTACTTTATTTTCATTTTTGATAATTGTTGTTCTTTTCCCGCCCCTCTAGGACATTGTAACTAATCAATTTGCTTGAAAATATCAAATCACTCTGATCCCAGCAAATACTTGGAATCAGACTGATACTGATACACCATTCTTTATTCAGTTATTAGTTGTTATTAATATCTGGCTCTCTTCCACAGCGTGCTTTGTCCTGTCTTCCTTTCTCCCCCCAGCCGGTCAACCGCAGATGGCCGCCCCTCTCTGAGCCTGGTGCTGCCGGAGGTTTCTTCCTGTTAAAAAGGAGTTTTTCCTTCTCACTGGTGCCAAAGTTCTTGCTCATAGAGGGTCATATGATTGTTGGGGTTTTCTCTGTTTTCTTTGTATTACTGCAGCCTTACAATATAAAGCACCTTGAGGTGACTGTTGTTGTGATTTGGCACTGTATAAATAAAATTGAATTGAAACTGAATAGAATGGACTTCAAAGGAAAAATTGTTAAAAAAAAAAAAAAAAAGTCAAAAGGCAGTCAAACAAGAAAACAGAGTTAAGAGAATGGCAAACTGCATTGCAAGCGAGGCTGCCATATCGCGCCATCGGCCCCTCTGGCCAACACCAGTAGGTGAAGTGTTTTGCCCAAAGACACAACCGGGGCTTGAACCGACAACCTTCCGATTACAAGATGAACTGCCAACTCTTGAGCCACGATCGCGCTTTTAAATAGTAGATTTACTCATGCATGAGTTCCACCTGTCTTTGTGTTTTTGCTAAGTGTTTGTGAGCTGTTACATTCTCATAAAGACAAAGCAGGTGAAATATGGTTCTGAATTAAACAGCAAATGCATTGCTAACTAGATATTTCACATAACAGCTGTTAATGTCAAACATGAATTAATAAGGGAGCTTTTCTTTTGCATGAACTTTGGCGCCCTCTGCATCCCAGTAAAATTACTGGTTATTACCAGTAAGGCTTTCAGTAGTTTTGGATCAGTGTGATTTTATAAAATGTCCTTTTGAACAACCAAGACAAAGGTGCAGTGGATAAAGTAAGGGCCCTGTCAAAACTGGGTAATTGTTATTCAGATTACATCTTTTAAACGACTGCGCCCAGAGCAGCATCTACGGTTTTATCCAGTTACTGGAGGTGTCCCAGGTTTAAATGCTTTCATCCCTTCCTTCTCTTTTAGGGGTGTGGTTGTTTTATGTATTGCATTCAACAAAAATCTGTAGATGGCTGCAGGTTTATGCTGCTCTCCCTTGTCTGCTTTCTTCCCAACCATATAAATAAAAAGACAAAAATGTCTCAACTTTGGAAAAACTGAGCCAAACTGTGGACATCACCTCAGTATGCAGGATGAAGGGATAAATGCTATAACTATATATCAATTTCACATTTATTTTTATCATAATATATAATTTCATATTGGTCATTCTGATGCTTTGCAGTATTCTAATATGTCTATATTATGAGATAAAAACTTTACTCAAGATAAAGATAAAAAATTCTTTCAGAAAAACAGTGAACAAAATATTTATTCTTAAACAATTACATGACCTCTGGTGCTCCAACAAATGGACAAGACAATACAAAAAAGTTACCATAAAAATAAGACGATGACAAAAGTGTGACAGAGAAGCAGTCCATGTCCTAAAACAAAACACCGCATCACTGACGGACACATGGAGGCGGCGTTGGAATGTGACGAGTAGTGTGTAACCAGGACAGAAAAAAGGCGTTACATCTGAGGAGATGAGCACTTCCTGCTACATGTGTCATTGCTCCAGTCAATGTGGGGTTGACACAACAGAAGAAAACAAACATAAAAACCCATTCGAATATCTGAGATTCAGCCCTGAGATTAACACACATACAACATAGTTTTAAAAAATCCAAGCATTTTGCAAGTCTGTAATAATAAAACATTCTCCAAAATCTCTATTTGGTACAAGTGCTTGAAACTGGAAAACGAAAAACAAAGAACTACAGGCTCAGTGACACACCTGCTTACTTAAAAATGGTTGATTAAAACATTTATTATTTCACTGCAACAAAATATAAAAACGGCAAAACAGAAAGATGGCACAAATGGAACAGACATGGTGTTTTCAGGGTAGGGAGGTGTGTGTGTGTGTGTGTGTGTGTGTGTGTGTGTGTGTGTGTGTGTGTGTATCCTGCTGCTGCTGGTGAGACACTAAGCAGACGAAGCCTTCAGCTGCCTCTGTGTGGATGTCTGTTGACATCGAGTAATGGCTTAATGGGCCTCACACAGCACAGCGCTGCTCCTAATGGCGCTAAGGAGAAGTACACAGACTTTAACACCAGCACTGATCACAAAGACTTTTTCTTCTAAAACAAAAAACAGAGTCTGACGTCCTCAACAGGTACGCTGGGTTTGAGCCAGTCCCACAGAGTAGGTGAGCACCTGTGCAGTCACAGGGTTTTACTAGGAGGCGGCCCAGCACGTATCTGGTATTACTAACAACAGAGTCTGCTGTATAAAAGTGCATGCAAGCTGCCCTCAGGAACACCGTGTGCAGTACATCCACGGATCTGTTGTTGGACCACAAGCTAGTGAAGGAACACCGAGTCCATGTAGCGCTGGTAAGTCAGATAAGGCTTCTTCAAAAGCAGCATGTAGTCCCAAGTAAAGACATCAGGAACCTTAATACTAGCGCGGCCATTCCTATTCAATTTAAGACTGATGGAACACCAGAGTAACTGTTGCCCCTCCTTGTTGGGTCTGAAGTCAAGCGAGCAGCTGAGTGGTCCTGTTTGTTGAGATGATGAAAGGGAAATCTAACACAGGATTCCCTTTCCTTAAGGAGTGGAAGAAAATTAATTGTTTAATAATTTATAAACCCCTAACACAGCTCCTAACAATTCAGACTGAAGTTTGTAAAGATCCAAACTGATTTAAAGATCGTACAGGCAGAAATTCTCTCAGGCCGAGGTGGGAGGCAGGCAGTTGGATCTGACTATTTTAAGTTGACAAGGTGACCAATGAGCCTCAAAAGCCAGATATAAGAGCCTGAAGCCAACAACGTTTGGAGGCAGTGGTCAGCTGAAGACAGTAATACTGCAGCTGGAGCAGAGGGCCAAAGTGCTTCCTGTGAAAATACATTCAAATACATGCACGCTTTGCGGCTCGCTCAGTAACACCTGCTGGGTGAATCTGCACGGGAAACAGAAAGCATAATGATCCAACAAGGTGTTGCATTAAATCTGGAACCCTGTTGTGTTGACGATAATCAGGTACCTTTACTCTGGGAGGGTACTACCTTGAACCACCAGCCCCTTCTTTCTGTCTCCATGACTGGCTGTTTAATTCAACATCAAAACTGCTTTAGCAATAACTTAAAAAAAACAAAACAACACTCAATCCAACCTCTTTGACAATTGCTAAAGAAACCAATACAAGAATAAATAACCCAAATATAATCAAATACTTAGAAAATCTTTAAAAAAATTAAATATCTTTGATTGTTATTCATATTTAATTCAGAAGAAGAAGAAAAAAGAAACCAAAACATCCCATATAAATAACTACACAAATAACAAATTCAGCATGTTACTTCAAGAACGGTTCTCGTCAGTCCGCGGGTGGTGTTGGCTGATGAGTACTGTCAGACTGGACTGAGGGAGGAGACCGGGGTCCTCCAGTCCCAGTGCCTGGTGGGGGTTAACAGTGCAGTTGAAGGACAGAGGGTGAAGTTAAGGTTTGCGGGTGCTAGCTGTCAGTCAGAACAACCCTGGTCCAGTGTCGCCATGGTTACCAGCGAGGTGGTGGGAAGGCCTGCGAAAATGCTGCAGGTGAATCTTCTAAC